GAGCCAATGTGAATGGGTCTGTACCACATGATTGCTGTGATGACCAATAACAGTAATCACATGATATAAACAGTGCAGTGTTTTTGAGTCCTCCTCTTTCTTTTACAAAAGGAAAGACGAAGAGAGAGGGAGCTGATTGATGAATTGCTCATTCTTTCAATAGCTCCAGATCAGTAGCTCCAGCAGCAGTTTCTGTAGTGATCAGGTTTTCTTACCCTTTCGCCCCCTCCTCTTCTGATTTCCTGTGTCTCTGCTGCAGGGGCGGACTGACAACTCATGGGGCAATAGGGGATCATGGGGCCCCTGTGTCCTTGCCCAAACTCAAAAAAGCCTATGAAAAAGGTACCAGGGGCATCTCATGTGGCCCCCTACTGACCCCCGGGCCCTCGGGTAGTGCCCGAGTTCCCAACTGGTCAGTCCCGCCCCTGCTCTGCTGTGACCTGTACAATAACCCCTTCAGTTCCTGCTCTTTCTGTATATAATCAGTACATTTAATCTATATAGTGCACCATCAACATGATTTTTTCTTTTTATTCTCAAAAAACTGTACCAAAACATTACATCACTGTTTGTCTGTCTACTTTTCAGAAAAACTGTAATTGTGGGGGGTGTGTTACTACTATCATGGCATTTTATTTCTTATTTTTGTAACAGAAAGTAAGAGAAACACTTTTCTCTTTTTCAAAATGATTAAGATTTTTGCCTCACAGTAAAAAAAACTGAGGGGTTATTAAAGAAGCTCTTCTGGCCATACTTCTCCTGTGGGTCACAGGAGTGCACTTAGATTAGTTATATTATTTCTACTTTATTCTATTCTATTGTTTTTTTTATATTCTGTTCTATTCTATTGTATTCGATTCTATTCTTTTCTAATCTATTGGAATCCGTATTCTATTCGAAATTAAAATTTCAGAAGACGGTTATATTCTATTGTTTTTTCTGTTCTATTCAAATTTGAATTTATTTTATTAGATATTCGAATTTTGGAAGACAGTTATATGTTTTCTACTTTATTCTATTCTACTGGTTTTTTTTATATTCTCTTATTTTTTATTTTTAATATAGTCTCTTATTTTCTTTTCTATTCTTTTCTATTCCATCAAATTTATTCTATGCAAAATTTGAATTTTGGAAAACATTTATATTCTATTTTTTTTCTATTCTATTCTGTTTTTTCTTTTTTTTAGTCTATTCTCTTTTATTCTATTCAAGACAGTTATATGCCATTTTATTCTATGCGATTGCTTTTCTATTCAGTTCTATTTTTTTTATTATATTTTCCTGTTCTTTTTTTTCTTTTCTATTCTATTCTATTTCTATTTAAATTGAAATGTGTACTATTCAAAACTCAAATTTTGGCAGTTATATTCTATTTTATCCTATTTTTTCTATTATATTCTGTTCTATTCTATCATTGTCTATTCTATTCTAATCTATTCTAATCTATTCTATTATGTTATGTTCTTTTCTATTTCAATTTCAAAAGACAGTTATATGCTATTTAATTCTATTCTTTATATTTAATCCTATTCTATTGTTTTTTTTTTTTCTCTTCCTTTCTTCTCTGTTTTCTATTCTATTCTTTTATTTTCTATTCTATTCTAATATTTTCTATTTTATTCTAATTTATTCTATTCAAATTATTCTGTTCGAATTTCAGATGACAGTTATATTCTATTATATTTTATTGTTTTTCTATTATATTAATTAGTTTTTTTCTATTCCATTCTATTCTTTTCTATTCTAATCTATTATATTTGAATTTCAGAATACAGTTATATTCTTTTCATTGTATTCTATTCTATTGTTTTTGTATTGTATTGTATTCTTTTCTATTCTATTATTTTACTGTCTATTCTAACCTATTCTATTTGAATTCAGATTAACTCTATTAGAAATTTGAATTTTGGGAAGACAGGTATATTATTTCTATTTAGTTCTTTTCTGTTGGTATGTCATTAAGACTCTGTTCCCTGTCTTCCCTGTCTCCTGACCCCCCCCCCCCCCCCACACACACACACTCTGCCCTTTCCTATTTCTGGTGCTTGCTTCTTTCTTTCTATTCTTTATTCCTTTATCTTTTCTCTTAGTCTTGTTTTGTACAGTGAATTATGCTGAGGTGTACTACGATGTCTCTTGTGTCTCAGTCAGAGAAGAATCTGTTTCTTTCGTTCTGTTCTGTAAAATTTGATACAGAAACTTAAGACAAATTTGCCTTTAATTCTATTCTGTTGTATTTTCTATTCTATGCTATGCTTTTCTATTTGCTTCTATTCTGTTCTTTTATGTTCTATTCTATTCTTTTTGTATTTGAATTCGATTTGATTTGAATTGCAATTTTATTATAATTTGATTCAAAATCGCTTCAAATTCATTTGAATTTCATCTGAATTTTGTTTCATTATTTTGGAATCATTACTAATGTAATTCAGAAATTCAGAGACATCTGAATGTCTTAATAATGAAAAATCCATCCAAATTCTATACAAAATGAACCACACATGTCTAACCAAGAGCTGAGTAATCTGCATCAGCATCAGGCCACATAGGTGAGTATGATTTTTTTTTTAATTCCACACCTTTTTTAAATACTACTAAAAGAAAGCTCTATTTCTTTTATATATAAAATATATGGAATTTATTTGGGTAAAGTGTTATGTGACCAAGTAATTTCCAGTCAAACTATCACAGCACTGAAAACTAAAATATGGCTTAGTAATGAAGGGTATTACAGGCTGGTACTAAAATTGTATAATACCAAATAAAATAATTCAATTAAGAGGACCATTTTATAGAAGCAAATTATGTAGCAGTATTTGGGATTTGTGTAAGTTTCACTAATAGCCCTGCATTGGGGCTAAGGTATTATTTTTCCCTCTCAGTGTAAGGGGTGTGGGACATATGGATGTCCACCAAGGATGGCCATAGCAGCTAGAGACATTGGATGTTTATTCTATTGGTGCATTTTTGCACAGACATTGCAAGCTCATTTAAAAGTGGACATTGCACACCAACTGTGTCCCTTTGAACTCCTTTGGAACCATTTGCATATGCAGTAGAACCTTGGAGATCTGTTTGACCCAGTATACTCATTCAAAGGTTTGAATTCTGATTTGTGAACCCATAATGAATATATTTACTTTATACTTCATCAATGCAAAGGATTTATGTTGAAACATCCATTTTTGGATTTAGTTAGAATCGGTTCATTTAAAATCAGCCATTGTGTGTAAATAATTGCTGGATTACATTTTATTATTCTTCATGCCTGCATGGAAACAAAACCCTGGTCTTCTGATACTATATGCTTGTCAATAAAGTATTGGACCTATGAAAGGCAAGTGATATTATATATACTTTGTTCAATGAGCAGTGGATTTGCAGCTGAACGGCAACTCATTTTGCAAGCAGTGTAAACCTAATGCATACTTGATTCTTTTGGATTACATATTGATTGCTCTTTTTTTTAATATATTATTATGCAAGCTATGAAAAGAGATAGTGAGGTATATTAAACCCCTTTCCTCTGCTGAGTTGAGGATATACTCTCTTCTAATGGGCACTGTCAACATTTTTATAAGTGTGTATTATGCGGATGTCTCAAGAAACACTATATTGCCAAAAGTAATTGGGACCTTCCTCCAAATCATTGGATTTAGGTGTTCCTATCACTTCCATGGCCACAGGTGTACAAAATCAAGCATCTAGGCATGCAGGCTGCTTCTACAAACATTTGTAAAAGAATAGGTTGCTCTCAGGAGCTCAGTGAATTCAAGCGTGATACTGTGATAGATTTGCAATAAGTCCAACCATGAAATTTCCTTGCTACTAAATATTCTATGGTCAATTATTAGTGGTTGCAACTGTGAACAACAGCAACTCAGCCATGCAGTGTAGAAGTGAAGACCACGTGATATGACAGAACGGGGTCAGCGCATACTAAAGCACACAGTGTGCAAAAGTTGCCAAACTGTCTAAAGAGTCAATAACTAAAGACCTCATGTGGCCTTCAGATTAGCACAACAACAGTGTGTAGACAGCTTCATGGAATGGGTTTCCATGGCCGAGCAGCTGCATCCAAGCCTTACATTACCAAGTGCAATGCAAAGCGTTGGATGCAGGGGTGTAAAGCATGCCACCACTGGACTCTACAGCAGTGGAGACGTGTTCTCTGGAGTGATGAATCACGCATCTCTGTGTGACAATCTGATGGACATGTCTGACTTTGGCAGTTGCCAGGAGAATGGTACTTGCCTGACTGCATTGTGCCAAGTGTATAGTTTGGTGGATGGGAGATTATAGTGGGGGGTTGTTTTTCAGGGTTTGGGCTTGACACCTCAGTGAAGGGAACTCTTAAGGTATCGGCATACCAAGACATTTTGGATAATTTTGTTTGGGGATGGCCCCTTCTTGTTCCAACATGACTGCACTCCTGTGCACAAAGCAAGGTCTATATAGACATGGATGAGCGAGCTTGGGGTGGAGGAAATTGACTGGCCTACACAGAGTCTTGACCTCAACCCAATAGAACTCCTTTGAGATGAATTAGAGTGGAGACAGCCAGGCCTTCTTGTCTGACATTAGTGCTTGACCTCACAAATGCACTTTTGGAAGAATGGTCAAACATTCCCCAAAACACACTCCTAAACATTGTGGACAGCTTTCCCAGAAGAGTTAAAAGGGTGGGCCAACTCAACATTGAACCGTACAGACTAAGACTGGGATGCCATTAAAGTTCATGTGATTGTAAAGGCAGGCATCCCAATACTTTTGGCAATATAGTGTATAAAGATGATGAGAGGCTTGGTTTTAATGGGGATAGGTACTCGTATGTTTTTATACTGTTAGCATAATAAATCCTCATTAACCACCTTCCGCCTGCCATATAGTAATATGATGGGCACAAGGTGGTTCTCTTGTTCTAGGAGGACGTCATATGACGTCCTCCCATTCTCACTGTGCATGCGCGGCTCAGGGAGCGCGCAGTGTGGCGATCGGCGGTGCGCTGTTTCCCTCAGACACAGTGGATCACCGATCGCAGAAAGAGCCGAAGATGTCAGCTCGGTCATGTGATCAGCTGTGTCCAATCACAGCTGATCACATGTAAACACGGAAATGCCGGTTATCTGCATTTCTCTCCTCTCAAGCTATCATGCTGACAGCTCGAGAGAGAGGAGAGCCGGTAATCGGCTTTCCGCGGAGGGGACATGTACACTGATCATCAGGGCACTGATGATCAGTGTGCCCTGATGATCAGTGTAGCCCCAGTAGTGCCACCTGTCAGTGTCCATCAGTGCCTTATGTCAGTGCTCATCAGTGCCTCGTGCCAGTGCCCATCAGTGCTACATAAGTGCCACATATCAGAGCCTACCAGTGCACATCAATGCTACATATCAGTGCCCATCTGAGCTGCCTTTCAGTGTCACCCATCAGTGCCAGTCAATGCCACCTATCAATGCCAATTAGTGCAACCTATCAGTGCTGCCAATCAGTGCCACCTATCAGTGCCAGTCAGCCACCTATCAGTGCCAGTCAGTGCTGCCTATCAGTGCCGCCTATCAGTGCCCTGTCAGTGCCGCCTAACAGTGCCAGTCAGTGCCGCCTATAAGTGCCAGTCAGTGCCGCCTATTAGTGCCAGTCAGTGCCGAATATCAGTGCTGCCTATCAGTGCCATATATCAGTGCCATGTATCAGTGCTACCTTTCAGTGCCCATCAGTGATGCCTGTCAATGCCCATCAGTGCCACTTACCAGTGCCCATCAGTGCTACCTATCAGTGCCCATCAGTACAGCCTCATTAGCGCACATCAGTGAAGGAGTAAAATCACTTATTTACAAAATTTTATAACAAAAACTAAGAAAACACATTTTTTTCAAACTTTTCAGTGGTTTTTGGTTTGTTTAAGAAAAAATAAAAAACCCAGAGGTGATTAAATACCACCAAAATAAAGCTCTATCTGTCACAAAAAAAATGATAAAAATGTCATATGGGTACAGTGTTGCATGACCGCGCAATTGTCATTCAAAGTGTGACAGCGCTGAAAGCTGGAAATTGGCCTGGGCTGGAAGGGGGTAAAGGTGTCCTGTAGGCTAGTGGTTAAGGGGACATAACTGATTAATTTTTTTTGTTTTATTTTTAATATGTTGCTGTAATATTTTGAGCTGGTCAGTAACAGTACAGTAAAGCAGTAATTTTTTTTCATTTTTGTTTTTTTTTTTTTTTTTTTTTACCATTAGTATTTAGAAGCTTACTTAATAAATATCTTGTTTTAATTAAATAAATATTTAGAATTTTTCCAGGCTTTTTGTCACCCAACACAATTACACAGCATATATAAAAATCATTAAATAATCATTACATATGTTTGTGCACATCTGTGTGTATATTTCTTTCTGTTTTGCTTAAGGCGGTATCCTTTAAACTATATAAAACTAAGAAAAATTGTGTCTAATATTTTTAGGTAGAAAAAGTCACAGACCATAACATGAAAAAACAGTTTCTCATTTTAAGAATGTTCTCTGAAACCAAGGAAAAAAACAGGACAAAGTGCCTTCTCTGATATAGCAATACAGATATAAAGCAATTCTTAGATGGAATGCTTGAACTGCAATTGAATTTGCTTTCTTTTCTTTCATGGATATGGATATTTTTCTTCCTTCTCTACCATATTTTTACAGAATTACTCTTGCCTTGACAAATCTCCAATATTTATATAAAAGTTCAATATATTGTACAAATATGAAGCTGAAGAATGAAAAGAATAAAAATGCAAGCTACAGAAAAAAAGAAAATGATCCTTCATAGAACAGTGGAAAGTCCATATTGGCAGAGATCTAAAATTCAATATCTAAACATTCATCAGCAGAAGAAGGAAAAAAGAATAAAATAAGAACTGCTCTCACTATGGATTTTTTGGGCAATCCACTTTTCTTTTTCTCTTCAGGTAAGTGCAGTCTAAACATTCCAATCAAAGAAAGATAGATATTTTACTTTAAGCATTTCACAATCAATGTTTAATACCTAAAATATTTATACATTTGCTATACCATATTTGATTTATTTATCCACTTCACAATTGAACAGCATTTCTTGATGACTCCTTAATTACAGGTATTTATACAGGTAATTATTTTTTCTTTGATAATATACAAATTGATGATTTTATTCTGTCATAAATTATACGACAAAGTTACTTTAGGACTAATTGCAGAGCAATTATCTTTTTGCAGAACATAATGGAAAAGAAGATTTAAAAAAAAATGATTTTCTGTTTTGTAAATAAAAATAAGAAGTATATTTTACACCATAAGTTTATTAATCAGAGTATAGCATCAAGTCAATTAAACTCCTGGGATATCGATCTGGTCAGTTAAGTAGTAGAGGGGGTTGTTAATCAGTTTCAGCTTCTTTTCACTAGGTGCGCTAGATGGGCAACAATTAAATGACCCCCAAAACAGGAATGATTTTACAGGTGGAAGCCACTGACATTTTTTCCCTACTCATCTTTTCTGACTGTGTTTCACTAGTTTTGCATTTGACTAGGGTCAGTGTCACTACTGGTAGCATGAGGAAATACCTGGACCCTACAGAGGTTGCACAGGCAGTCCAAATCCTCCAAGATGGCACTTCAATAAGTGCCATTGCCAGAAGGTTTGCTGTGTCTTCCAGCACAGTCTCAAGAGCATGGAGGAGATTCCAGGAGACAGGAAGTTACTCTAGGAGAGAAGGACAGGGTCATAGAAAGTCCTTAACCCATCAGCAGGACCGGTACCTACTCCTTTGTGCAAGAAGGAACAGGATGAGCACTGCCAGAGCCCTACAAAATGACATCCAGCAGGCTACAGTTTGAATGTCTCTGACCAAACAATCAGAAACAGACTTCATGAGGGTGACCTGAGGACCCAACGCCCCCTGTGCTCACTGCTCGGCATCATAAAGCTCAATTGGCATTCGCCATTGAACACCAGAATTGGCAAGTCTGCCACTGGCACTCTGTGCTTTTCACAGATGAGAGCAGGTTCCCCCTTAGCACATGTGACAGACATGAAAGGGTCTGGAGAAGCCGTGGATAATGTTATGCTACTTGTAACATCATTCAGCATGACTGTTTTGGTAGTGGGTTAGTGATGGTCTTGGGAGGCATATCCATGGAGGGATGCACAGACCTCTACAGGCTAGACAATGGCACCCTGACTGCCATTAGGTATCAGGATGAAATCCTTGGACCATTGTCAGACCATATGCTAGTGCAGTGGGTCCTGGGTTCCTCCAGGTGCATGACAATGCCTGGCCTCATGTGGCGAGAATATGCAGGCAGTTCCTGGAGGATGAAGGAACTGATACCATTGAATGGCCCCATGCTCACCTGAACTAAATCCAATAGAACACCTCTGGGATATCATGTTTTGGTCCATCTGATGCTGCCAGGTTGCACCTCAGACTGCCCAGGAGCTCAGTGATGCTCTGGTCCAGATCTGGGAGGAAATACCCTAGGACACTATCCATCGTCTCATTAGGAGCATGCCCAGGGGCGGACTGACCATTTGGAAACTCGGGCATCTCTCACAGAATACTGACCGGGATGTACAAGGTATCCATCGTTCTCCACAAACTATATCCACAAACCTCTAATACCTGTTGGAGATGTAAACAATCTTAGCATTCTAAACTTCACATATTCTGTGACTGTCCATGATTAAAGATATTTTGGACTTATGTACTTACCATTGTTCAAAAGTTGACAGCCTACCCAGGAGCAGATATACGAACTCCTAAATATTAATCTACTTAATGCAGCTAGGCTGTGTATATCTAATGTTGGGTGACAAGAGCCCCCTCAAAATGTCAAACTCCGTTTTAACTCCAATAAATTAATTCCATGGTCTGGAGAAACAACTGATGTACTGTATATCACAAGAAATAAAATACATAGTTGGTTCTACTGCGTAGAGTACCATTGTTTTTAGAAGTATAAAACCTTAATCACAGGGATCTGATCACTCTCCCTTCTCTTCCCTGCATTATTATTATTATACAGGATTTTTATAATGCCAACAGTTTGCGCAGCGCTTTACAATATAAGGGAGACAGTACAATTACAATACATTTCAGTACAGAAGGAATAGGAGGGCCCTGCTCGTGGAGCTTACAATCTAAAGGAAGGGGGAGGGGATACAAAAGGTGATAGCTGCGGGGGATGATCTGGCGGAGGTGATTCAAGTACAGTTCTTAGGTGGAGGTGGTGTAGGCTTCCCTGAAGAAGTGAGTTTTCAAAGATCACCTAAAGGCAGACACGGAGGGGGCTGACCGGAATTGCTGTGGTAGGGAGTTCCAGAGGATGGGAGAGGCTCTGGAGAAGTCCTGGAGGCGAGCGTGGGAGGAAGTGATGAGGGTGCTAGAGAGGAGGATATCATGGGAGGAGCGGAGTGGGTGATTTGGGCGGTATCTGTGGATGAAGTTGGTGATGTAGCTAGGGGCAATGTTGTGGATGGCTTTGTAAGCTGTGGATAGTATTTTGAATTTTATACGTTGGGTTAGTGGAAGCCAGTGGAGGGATTGGCAGAGAGGGGCAGCAGTCGCTGATCGGTTGGTAAGGTGTATGAGTCTAGCAGCAGCATTCATAATAGATTGAAGGGGGGATAACCTGTGTAACGGTAGACCAGTGAGGAGGGAGTTGCAGTAATCGAGGCGGGATATAACCAAGGCGTGGATAAGTTGTTTTGTGGTGTCATTGGTCAGGAAAGGGCGGATTTTGGAAATGATCCAGAGGACGTGGAAGCGGCAGGATTTAGCCAGTGAGTGGATGTGGGGCCCAAAGGAGAGGTCAGAGTCTAAGATTACGCCTAGCACCTTGGCATGAGGGGAAGGACCAATGGTTGTGCTGTTGATCTTAATGGTAAGGTCATGAGTGGGGGATCGGGGAGGAGGAAATATTACAAGCTCAGTTTTTGAAAGATTGAGTTTAAGGTAGTGATGTGACATCCATGCTGATATGTCGCTTAGTAGATTTGTGATACGTGAGGAGATTGAGGGGGTGAGCTGGGGAGTGGAGAGATAGATCTGGGTGTCATCAGCATAGAGGTGGTATTGGAAGCCATGGGAGGTTATCAGTTGGCCCAGGGAGGAGGTATAGAGGGAGAAAAGGAGGGGCCCAAGAACAGAACCTTGGGGTACCCCAACAGAAAGAGGAAGCGGAGCGGAGGAGGAAGAGTTGTATGTGACACTGAAAGTGCGCTGAGAAAGGTAAGAGGAGAACCAGGAGAGAGCAGAGTCACAGAGGCCGATGGAGTGGAGTTTACTGAGGAGTAGCGAGTAGTCGACTGTGTCAAAGGCAGCGGAAAGGTCAAGGACTAGGAGTATGGAGTAATGGCCGTTGATTTTAGCAGTTAGTAGGTCATTAGTGAGTTTTAGTAGGGCAGTTTCTGTGGAATGTTGTGGGCAGAAGCCAGACTGTCGGGGATCAAGAAGGTTGTTGTCAGTGAGGTAGCAGTTCATACGGTTGTGAACAAGGCGCTCGAGAAGCTTGGAGGCAAACAGCAGCAGGGAGATGAGTCTTAAGTTATTCAAACAGGTGGGGTCCAGCGAGGGT